TAATTTAAAAGTTATAGCATGAAAACTATAACAAGCACAAAATGGTTACAAGGTCGGGCCCAAGGACCAAGCCCATGCTGAAAGAGTTAATTCATTTATTATTTCCTTAACTATATTAGATGAGTTTAAGGCATTAATTCTTAAGTTATAAATGTGGTTATGTGATTGTAGAAAGCTATATTAAAATAAAATTCCATGATCTTATCGAAAAAAGATATTTATAAACAATACACCAATTAACAGTGCCACACAAGAGTTATTTGCACATAGCCATTTCTAAGTTTTAATTAAAAGATTAAAGTAAAAGCAGATGATCAACAGCAACCACCACCAACCATTGTCTAAATGAATACAGGAATATGACCATAACTCACAAAATTCACTCACAACTCCAAAGTGCAGAACACATCTCTGAATGAACAGGATGCAAACCATGAATCCTCAGATTCATAGTAAAGACATATTACTGAACATAATCTTCAAAGTTTATATGCCAAAAAGAACTGTCCGAGATGTTGTCCCTAAACATTATGTTAACTGTGGTATCAAATTCAGCCAAACAACAAACTGGCCCAATTCTTTCTCAGTTATTAACTATTATACATTGTAAAATGTTCAACTGAATTTACTCTACTTTATATAAAGAAAACTGCACATTGTTGCTTACAGCTTTCTGCTAAAGATACTAATAACTCTTTCTTATGTACACTTTTTAATTTCAGTTGTATCTTCCATTCAAACTTCTTAGGTAACTGCCACATAACTATTGGCAATCATGTTTAAGGAAAAATTGACAATAAACAAATAATTAATCAACTTTATAAAATACAAAATTTTTCTCCTTTTTCATACAATCAACAGACTTGATGAAGAATCCATTTTTGAATTCATAAAACATAATTATTTAAATGCTTAGTCAACAAACAATGCCAACATACATATTTTTGTGAAAATAGAGAAAGAAAAGCACTAACATCAAGCGCATAAATTTCTTATAATTTCTATGAAATATCCTCTATTGTCAATGTTTACTTGAACTCTTTACGCTTAATTTCAATACACACTGGTTATTAGAGTAGACACATTCCTACAAAAAAACAACTTTCCTTGACTTCTCAGATACAATGATAGTTTCCAGACATGTAGACATGCATAAATGACAGAAATTGTTGAGTTTAACAATATAAACTAATTAAAAACTAGCATTAGTATAATAATCTAATTTTTGTTTTACCTATAAATAAAAATATGATTAATCTTTAGCTTCAACATTTTGGAATGAGCTGTCTTCAAGAGTGGTGGAGGCAGAAAATTTAATGGAGTTCAAAAAAAGATTGGATGAATACATGAGTGGTAAGGGGTGGTTATAGCTGGGAGCTTGAAGGGACATCAATAGGCTAATAAGCTTCTTTTTGTCCCTTTGAAATTTTATGCATTTTATTTATAAAATTATGAACATTTTATGTACTTTTTTTATATACATATTTTTTTTACAAAGCAAAAAAAATATACTACACATCAGGCAATGCTGAATCAACATTACTATGTGTGAAAGTGTTAAATGGTAGCTTCCTTTTATGTACATACCTTTGCAGCAAAATGAAGTGCTGTTTGTCCCAGTGGTGAAGTACTATTAACATTCATGCCATATACCTGTACTAAGTGTTCACATGCTTTTATACTTCCTGCTTGAGCTGCTAAATGGAGAGCGTTTCTTCCAAGAGCGTCTTGGTACGATATGTTAGCCTAAAAACACACAAGCATATTTAAACTTAAGTTGCTCAAGAACATACACTTATTCAAATCTTAAAGTTTAATAGTAATAAAAATTAAACTTTCAATAAAGTTATCACATTACATAGTTGTGAGGGTCATGATAATAATAAATGAAGCATATAATAATAATAAAAAAAAAACACAATACGAGTATTTTTATCATCAGTTATATCATTTTTTAATTAACTTTATGATAATATTTCATAAAATTACCTCCATCATAGTAGTTTAGGTTTAAAGAATTACAAGTAACAGTATCTAATAATTTTAATTTGGAGTTATTGTTCAAACAATTCAAGTAAGAAACTCACACCATGTTTTATCAAAATATCCACAATGTCTATATAACCTCCTCTTGAAGCATCCATAAGGGGTGTGCTACCGCAACTGTCCTGTCGGTCAAGAAGATTATGCTCTCTATTCAAAATAATGTCCACTATTTTCAAATGACCATGAAGAGCTATAACCATCAGAATTATGCATCACATTTGGAATCAACCTTCCATTATAAACAAAGCTTTTACTTGTTAATATATTCTTTAATTTTCATTCTAAACTTTATAACACAATTTATATGTACAAAAGCAGAACTATTTAATGTAAAAATGGCAGTTTTTTTTTCAATTTTATGAATAACTGTTTATCATGTAGTATTCAACTGAAAAAAAAATGTTAAGTTGATTATTTTCAGCATCTTCAATATCACAAAATGAGTGATTTCTTAAACTGGTAAAATTCAGAAAAGGTTACTGGGGAATGACTAAAACCTAATGAGCTCAAACGAAAGGATCTGAAGATGACATGTTCACATGACTTGTCTCGGATGGACAGACAAGAACAAAGATGGGATACATTCCAGTACCCACAATATGGGGGGTTTGGTTAACATATCAGCTTTCAGACTGGATTAGGTGAAATCATGTTTCCATAGACAAGAATGAAAAGCAGCTGCAACTCACCCAAGGATCTCCAAGGAAACTAGAATGTTTACATGAGCAGAAAAAATGAAGGACCCAATACCATCAAACAGAATTGAAAGTCACTAAGAAAATAGAAAAGGTTAAAAAGGACTAAACTGGTAAAAAGAAAACCATCACCAAGAATATAGCAGAAAATAAAAACAAAAATTACATTCCAAAGTGCAATGAAAAAATGTGATCCAACAAGTACTGTTAAGATGAATACAGACTTGCATGGAAGTATAAGTGGCCAAAACAAACTGAACAGTAATTCTTCCAATGGAGTGTAGAAAGTATGTGACGAGTCACATCAGCTGGTCACAGGAATGAGTATGTAGATTATGCAAATTTAGACCATTAAATAAGAGAGGAATCTAAAAAAATCAACAAGAACAATTACACGGTCGATACCTTGGCAATTAGTCAGAGGAATAGCTATTGATTACAGCAAAGAAAAAACTATTTTAATAAAATATTTTAATTCATTAAACAACCTTTAAACAAGTCTTTATTTCGTTACCCTCTCATTTTGGATCTCTAAACATTTGGGAGATCAATTAAGTTATGAAGTTTGTGAAATTTACCTTACATGACTTTTTATCAACCAGGTAAAAATTCATCTTTAGCTAGTTGATAAAAAGATCACAACAAAACCAATTTTAATGAAATATACAAAGTGTTACAAAATGTATATGCCCCCCCCCCCAAAAAAAAGTATCAGCTGTATACATAATGGACTAATATTTATTAACAGCATGACAAGTGTACAACAAGGTTTAATCGGTAGTGTTTAGGGATCCAGCACAAGTCCATTTTCAATTAATTCATTTAAAAAGAAAAGGAAAAGGAGAATGAAAACAATTTATTATTACTTCTACTCCTTATTCATGGATAAATAAAACATGTCTCAGAATTCTGGGAGCCAACCTTCAATTAAGTCACTTGAAAGAATAATTGGCTAAATTTTACGAGTCGACGAAAAAAAGGAACCCTACAAGTGTGTTTAATGGTTTACAGTCTAAAAACAAATACATATATTTACCCAAAAACAAAACTATATAGGAAAAAATCACAACAAACATATATATATGCATGTATATACACACCTGCCCTAGTGGCCACCTTCAAGGGTCATGTATGTGCACATAACATTTCTTTGAGTGATATTTAGGCAGATAAAGCAGTCAAAAGTTTGATTCATTTAGTCTTAATAAACCATACACATAAATGATAATTACCTATGCATGTTATTAAAAATAATGCTGTTTGTGTAAAAAGAAAGTTCTGAATAATGAATTCTGTGCAAATCTTACAGTACCTGCTGTGTGAAGAGGGGTTCTTCCATTTTTGCTGACTGTATCCAACTGAAGGCTAGTCTGCTCCACAAGGTAGTTAATAATGTCCGAGTTCCCTTCTCTAGATAATCATTTAGATATCTATAACACATCATACACATATACTTTATTTTCTGTTACTCAAAACAGATTTCATAGAGTTTTGAAAGTATGAAAGAATATTTTACTTTGCATAAAAAGATGTTTACATTATTGGTACAAAAATTGAGTTGAGTCAAAAATCTTAGGCTTTAACTTTTCAATCAATAATTAAAAAAGAAAAAGGACTAATCAGTGACACAAATTACAATTTTTAGTTCAAGCACTAACAAAGTTCAGTAAAGTTTTAGTAGAATTTTTTGCTTTACACATTTAAAGAATACATCACTGAAACATTTTCCTAAATATTTTTGATTATGTGAAACTCATTTTTGAAACAAAACTATGCCAAACTTTTTTTTTACACCAGCTAAAAAATTGTTTTACTAAAAAATTCAACATTTACTTAGGCCTCTTACAATTGGCTGGAAAATCTTTGTCATTTGTAAAACATAATTTTATTCACCCAAAGCTGGAACACAGGGCAGGAACAATAATTTAACTTAGTTCACAATTAAGTCCTTTTAGTAAATAACTGCCTTTCTGGAACATTATTTTACTTCCTTATCTCCAAAATATTTTACTTGTTTGAAGGTAAGCCTCTAGTGGTATCACCCATTGAAACATGTACTTATCCAACAAGCCTAATGTCATTTTTAATAAGTTTTTGCACACTTTATGATGTATTTAGTATAGTTAATTTATACATAAGCTTGATCCTTTACCATACTTATTTCATTCAGTTTCACAACTGTACAAAAAAAAAAAGACATTGTAAAAGATTACCTTTTATTACTAGTTTTATTACTTATTACTAGTTTATTTTACTCAGCTAATTTCCAAACTATTCTATTTGCTGGAAGAAAACCTTCTATTACATCCAAAATTAAATTATTCATCCAATTTCAAAATTTCACAAACAAAAGACATCATAAAAAATTATTGATGGGCCACTCACAATAATTTGTCAACTTTTCCCTCGATTAAACCAAATCAAACTAAATAAACAAAGCAATCTACCTGCAGGCAATATGGAAACTATTCCATCCATCTTTATTCCGAAGAAGGAGATTGGCTCCACCTTCCACAAGGGCTCTAATTACATTCAGATTATTCTTTGTACATGCCAACATCAAAGGTGTCCTGAAACAAAACAAAAAAACGAATAATGATAACTGCAAAACCAAGTTCCTTATATGAGTTGGTTTATGTAATTTTAAAGAAATGTTTTTATTTTTGTGGTGAATTGTTTAACCAATAACCTGCATGAAAATATTTGAAAAGACAGTTCATATTTTGATTAACTTACATGGATTGGTTTAGATCATCTTAAGACTTTATTAATTGCAAGAAAATATCAACCCTCTTCAAACAGATCAAAATCAAAGTTTTATTAATTTGTTTTTATAATACAGGGTGAGCAATAAATAGGTTTACCAAAGGATTTTTAGTTCACTTACTTTATTTTAAAATTTCTAAATTTACAATTGTTGTTTGATTTACCACCTCCTGAAATGGTTCATCAATTTACAAAGAACAAAGGATTTTTGTTCTGAAGACATGGTGGTGAACGTGAAAATAATGTAGAAAAACACTTTGAACACCTTCTTTAAGAACGAAAGTGTCTTGTAAGATAATATAAGTCTTGTTTGTTTGCCTCTATTAGGTTATAGTAACAACATACTATATTTTGTATTGTACACCTGACTGAATAAACCTTGGTTCACAAGTTGGGTAATTAAGCTAAGGCACACCCTGTACCTATTTCCTGAACATATTTGCCACTTCAAGAAGAACATAACAGTCTTAAAATATGTGCTAAATGTACTTTTGCATTTGAAAATCTACAATACTATAGGTATTCAGATGTCACCAACACTTTATTCAAAGGAACAAAACAACTTAATGAGTTCCAAACCTACACACAGAAAGTTTATGACAAAACATGAAAAAAAAAGAACACAAACTATTTTTCTTACATATTCTATTTAAAATAATGGTTTTTGATGTTGTTTATATCATGTACACACATATGCTAGTTTGCACATTAATTTTATTAATTTTTATAGATTTTGTACCAGAACAAAGAAAATGTGATTGCTGTTTTGACCTAAAAAGTTTATAAGGTAGCTAACACTGTGTTGTTAAAATTGAATCTGAAATAATTAAAAATAAGTTACAGTTATCCAAGTTCCTTAAGCAGCAAGTTAAACAAGAAAACAAACCAGATATTGAAAATATATTCATCATTTTATCACCATCCAAAAATACAAAAGATAATGTTTTTAGTTCTTACCTATTAATTCTTATCAAGATCAAATGAAACGTTTTAAGTGACTGCTTGTTAAGCTTTCACCTACAAATTGAAATTAGATTCATTTTCACAACCCAATTCAGAATTAAACATTCTTTATTCTTCAAAAATGGAGTTCATTTTTAACTACATGCTTATATAAATGGTGGTTATAAATCAGATCAAACCCTCTTTGTTTAGCATTACTTGTCACTGAGCACACAGCATTTCAAAACAATAAAGTTTCAGATAAAAACTACAAAAGTGGAGGAGCCCACCAGATAACAGTACCTGCAGATTTTAAAAAATATAAAAACAACAGAATAACTAATAACAAAAGAAAGAATATATTACTACAAACGTCATCTGAGCAGTGTTTTTATTTTTATACAACAAAAGCTCAAAATGCTGTTAATGTGAAGAATCAAGTCCAATTATTTATACTTTTTTTCCCATTAAAATACTTCTAGATTTGTATAAGTATCTGTATGATTTTGTTCACAAACTTTATCTTTTGATTACTTGAATAAATATCTCTGAAATTTCAACACATGTAGTTCTTCTAAAACAAACAACATATTTCTAATGTCATTCATCATGTGGTAGTTACAATCCCACTCGGGCACATGTGTAGTATTTACAAAAAACTAATGGATATGTGTAGTAATTACAAATCCACTGAAGAACAAGTATAGTAATTACAAACCCACTAAGACATCTGGAACAATAACAAATTTATAAAGGACATATGTAGTAATTACAAACCCATTTAGACACCTGATATAAGTATAAACGCACTAATGGACACATATTGTAATTATAAACCCACTAAAACATTTTGAATAATTACAAACTCACTAAGGGAAGGATGTTGTAATTATAAACCTACTAAGGAATGAATATAACAATTAAAAACCCAATAAGAGACATGTTTGATAATTACAAATCCACTAAGAGACACATGTAGTAATACAAATCCACTAAGGGACACATGTAGTAATACAAATCTACTAAGGGACACATGTAGTAATACAAATCTACTAAGGGACACATGCAGTAATTACAAATCCACTGAAGTATACATCTGTTAGTCCAAAACGTTTTTGTTTAAAAAGAAAAAAGAGAATTTGACTGAAAAAGAGCTTAATTAAAATGAGACAAATGAATGCAACATGGCATTAATTGTCTAATGTTAGTAAAGCTTATGTATAGCTCCATGGTTGTAAATTTTCTGAAGCAATCTCATAGGAAACCAGAGCTCTTTTGGTGTACAAGTAGCTAATAGTGGGAATTCAAAAAATTATTTTATGGGTAAAAAAGAAAAAATGCTTGCTACAATCTGTAGTTCCAGTAACTAATTAACTCACCAATCTGCACGCTTCAAACTGTCCACGTTAACATTAAGAGACAAAAGATATCGAACACAATCTATCTGACCAGCCTGAGCAGCTTCATGTAGGGGACGTTTTCCATCTAGGTTAGCTTGTTCAAAATTAACATAACCCTTCGGCTTTTCTTCATTATTCAGATACCTAGAAGTTTAAACAAAATAAAAATCTCTACATTCTGAAACATTTAGGTAAAGAAAATGTTAACTTCTCTGCAAAACAAAAAAGCTAGAATTCTACAATAATAATATGGTGGAGGAACCAGGATACATAAAAAAATTAAAAATTACCACTGGGACGAGGGGTAGCCTAATGGGGCATCACTCAATGGGAAACTGCATCCTTCTCCCAGAGAAAGATAAAACCACAATGTGAAGTAAGTAATGTGACACAAACAAGTCAAGGGTAATTCACATCCACACGTGCAAAATCTCATATGGAGAACATAAACAATTAGAAGCAATGAGAAAACAAACTTGATGGGAAGAGACACACAAAAAACAAGAAAAATGTAATCACAAACAGAAGAACACACAAGACAGAAAAAGTGTTTAACCCAGCCAGTCAAAGTGGAAGGAGACAAGGTACCAATGAAAAAAGAATCTCATGGCTAAAAAAGATGTTTTTGACTGCTGTGGAATGGGATAGTCTTAGCGAGATAACAATGAACATCTATCTCCTTCAGAATAAAGGAGATGAATGGGGAAGAAAGGGAAGAAGATTGATTAGAGAAAATGTCCAATTACCTTCCCTAGTAACCTAAGTTTTGTGAAGGAATAACTGGTCAGGGAATAGTGTTCACCTGTCCCTGGGATAATATGTGCTGAAGTGTCCAAGGCACAAATGTCATGAGAAAGACCAACAGTTCAAATGAGGGGCATATGAGAGTCCTGATGAATAAACAAAGGTTCTAATCCACAAGAGGAACCAGACAAGAATAATGGCTGATCCAAAATGCTCAGAAGAGACTCACTAGAACCAGGAAATAACAGAAGGACATGAAAAAAAAAAATCATGTACAAGTGATAGTAGAAATGGGAAGAAGTCGAAGAGGATGATAGACACATAAAAATAGATTGAAAGAATCCAGATTCAGAATATCAACTGCCAGAGCAGTACAGTCTAGGACTGGAAACCAAAAGAGTGGCAGCTAGGTGTTGAAGCTAGTCAGAAAGACAAGTGATAATAAGACTCCCAAAGTAGGAGCAAAGCCATTGAGAATACCAGAAAATGAATGTCTGCATGGGAAGAATCCAGTCTAGGTAAGACAGTAAATTGGCCACCAGGACCTAAGCTCCTGAGACATGATAGAATGGCAACCAAACATGGTGGTCATGGGCCCAAAAAAGAAAGTCTAGATCAAGAAAAACATAGGTCTCGAGAACAAGTACCTCCTATTGATGGATGTAAAAAATGACAGAGGAGGTGCCAGAATGACTCATGATAAGAAGACCAAATAAATGAGTCAGAAGATGGTGGAAAATCCATGGAGTAGCCAAAGTCTCAAGGATGTTCATATAAAGAGGCCACTCCTCTAGAGACTAGACTTTGGAAATGGATCAGGTGTCCAGAGCTGCATTCCAGATGAAAAAAAGAGAGATATCAGTTGATACGTTTAGTTTGTAGGTTTGATTGTTGTCAAGTGCAAAGATGTATATGTTCCACCAGTGCTGCATCTATCATGGGCATGGAAACCAAAATATTTGAGCATTTTAAGCCCTCAGCTGACCATTGAGGAACTTCAAGAAGGTGTAAAGGAGAAGGGAAAGACACAAGAGAAGACAGTGGATCTCTGGCTAGATTAGCACTGATCAACCTAAATCCACTGACAGGAACAGGTATGAGCACATTCAAGAGGATCTATCAAAACCTGTACACTGGTTTAAAACAAAGGGAAACTATACTGTGAAGGAAGGCTTGGCACAAACACTATAATTCATATTCTAAAATTACAAATTTGATTAAAAAGGAAAAAAATAATCAAAGTTAATATAAATTGAACCAAAACTCTAACTGAAACGTTTGAAATTTTGTATCTTTCTCATACCAAGAAAATAAAAGAATAAACTGTAAATGGTAAAGGAAGTTTAAAATAATCAGCATAAAAAGTCTCTTAATTCTTAAGAAAAACATATCTAAAGAAAGTGGTGCTAAGGGGGAAAAAAAGGTCTTTGTTGTAACACTATTGCTCATAGTATTTACTGTACATGGAATATGTGGAAGGTTACAGTTTAATACTGATCACATAATAGGCTGACACAGTCCACGTTAGTATGCGTAGAGGTTGAAGTTCCATTCAAGGCTTGTGGAATAAGCAAAACATTTTTTCGGCAGATATGCAAGATGCAAAGTACCATTACTAAAGGAAAATACTCAAAAGAAAGAATAAACTTTTACTTAGTAATATTACTTGTTTTTCACATATCAAGAACTTCGTTTTAGCTACATTTACAATCTTATTCATTCACAGTTTACTATTTCACATAAGTGACTAATATAGTTAAAAGTGAGTCACAAACATATCTGGTAGACTTACTATGGTTCACAGATAATCTTTTTTTTTTCTATTTTTACAGATAGTAGTAAATATACAAAATAACCCTTACTCCACTGTAATTTGAAGTACAAAAGGTGTGTTCTTTGTTTCTTACTTTAGGCAGACTTGAAGTGGTACATAGTGTATCCCGACGTTTTCTTAACAGAACAAATATGCACCTTTATGTCTGCTACAGTAGCTAAGAGAATAAATGAATTTATTGTATACATCTGTATAAGTATTCTTATTTCTATGATAGTTACAGCAAAAGCATGCAAAACAGGTATAGGAAAATGAGGTAAGACATTCCCCTTTGATAAATCAAATACTTTTATATATCATTGGTTGTAATGTACTGCCATCAGAGTGAATGATATATAAGTATTGTCAACATGATCTCAATGTGTAAAAATACTGATTGATTGGTGCGAATGTGACTGATTAAAAAACAGCATTTTGTTTTTCATTTTTGAACAGCTTTGATATAAGGTAACCACTATAACTCTTATGGCAACAAAGTAAATATTTCAGGGAATTTAACTTTATTGATTTCAAACAATGAGAGGTTACAGACAACTGAATTCTCCATAAAAGAAACATAGTTCAAGTTGATTAATGTTTCTTACAACACATGATCAATTTTATATGAGACTTAAGGTAATAGTCACCACCCATTGTGTGACAATCTTACCCCGCACCAACAACGTATGTTTCAGCCATCGGGTTCAGCCAGAATATGTGTCACTGCTCCACACTAGTATCCACATTATTTTGTAACACTGTCCTAGATAATATATATAAATTGTGCATGGCACACAGCTTTCTCAATCGCTAACAGAACATTTAAGGAATGATTTAAGTGATTTAAATGTAGTGTTTATTTTACATTGCAGTTGATATAACATAATATAATATTTTGGGATAACATGGGACCTATTGGTCCATCTCGGCTGTCCATCCTCAACTAAGTTAAAATGATTGAAAAATAATAATAATAAAATATACTTGTACTTATCAAGC